GACACGCGCAACAGAGGGCCGAGAGATGGAAGCCGTAGCTTGATCAGTTTGTAAGGGCCTTCCAAAAATCGACACAAGACCAAACAAAATTTGCGTATTGAAAAAATGTAATCTCAAGTTAGGAAAAGCAATCCAAACCGGCGCAATAGGTGATTCCTCTCGAACATCAAAGTTAGGAGTCCATTTGAGGAGACGCAACTGACATCCTTGAATGTAGTAAGATTGACGAGCAAAAATATGACTGTAATCCAGATCGGTCGTTAATTGGATTGCAACATGTCGCGGATCGAGCAACCCGACATGAAACGAAGTAGATAATTTCAAACTCACAAAAAACTTTCGGATCACGTCCAGATTAGGGCGACGCAAAACAAAATTACCTACAAGAGTAAGGGCAAAAGGGGCTGCAAGCTGAGAAACAACAAAGTCATCGAACAATAGAGCTGGACAACCCTTAATAGAAGACTGCACAAAATTAAGCTTAGGAGCAGCAGATGACGATCCTGAGACAACATCCTTGAAAGATCGAGTGCGACCATCAGTTAAGGCAGCATTCGGGTGGAGAGATGACGACTTAGTCGTCGTCTCCGAAGGAAAACGGAACGAAAAATCAAAGTAAAGCCACGAACGAACACAAACAAAGCCAGATAAGGAAAAAATCTAGCAAAAAAGCAAACCAAAAAGCAGAAAAACGAGGAAGGCGATCGAGAGAACGGAAACCCTAAATCGCCTCAGAGCCGCCAGTCGCAAGTTGGAAATGATCTCTTCCGCTGTCTTTGAGAAGATGGAACTCCCATCAATTAATTCTTCTTGTGTGGCCCTTGCTCTTTCTTTCTCTCTCTTTGCGCTGACTTTAAAAGATATATTCTGAAATTCTTTTGAAATATTTAAATTTATTTCTTCCATAATTCGCATGAACCATACCTGTTATATTCCATATTATTATTTAAATCAGAATTTCTCACTTCTTTTGAATAATCATGATTCACTTAATTTACTTGACCAGAGATAATTCCATTTTCCACTTCTACATTAGATAAAGAAGTAACCTTATTTTGATTAACCACATTTTTATTGCAATGAAGTTGCGCGTGTCATTTTCTACCTCAATTGAAACAGAATGATGAAATCTTTTCATATTCTATTTTTTAAAATAATCTTCCATTAGACCCTTCAACCCAAATATCTAAGGGAAGTTGTGCATCAAGATTAATACGAACATAAATTCTTGCAAATTCTCTTTACACCTAATTAAACATATTTCCATCCAAGAACATAGGTGTACCAACCATAGAAGCAATTCGAACAATGTTAGTTTCATCCCAACAATATAAAGGAAGATGAGGAAAATGGATCCACACAAATGAAAACAAATCCTTCATTGATGATGTTGAAAAATCAAGACTCCAATTCTCCTTACCAATAATATGTCCTCCTATAAATCAAGGTCCTCCACTAAACACAACTTCTTTTGCTTCAGAAGAATGAAATGAACATAGAAACCATTCCATTCCTAAGTTAATAAGGTGAAAATAACCAAATTTACTCCATTATTTCCTTAAATCTATACTAATCACTGAATAAGAAATAGAGTTTCCAAAAACCTTAATGACCAAAGAGTTATGAAGTCTTAATATTGCCTTTTCATTTTCAAGATGCAATTTAACAGCAACACCATCTTCTATCATCTCAATATCTTTCTCAAGATTAACTAGATTAATGTTAGGTTGTTTGCCTTCTAGCATTAACAGGTTCTTTCAACAAATTAGAAGAGTTTTTAACATCTTCAGAAGCATTAACGCAAACATTTACAGAATCTGAAAGTTTGCCAGACACATGGACATTTCCCCTTTCAGAAGGAACAGAATTGATATCAACATTTGCAGAAAAACCTGAATTGAAATCATTTCTGACTAAAGAAACTGGATTAACAACAACCTTTGCAGAAGAAGCACAATTGCCATCATCTTTTTTTACTAATCTTAAAATAGATGCCTCTAAATCATTAGGTCTTCCTAGAAATCTTTCATCAATCTTCGATTTAGCATTTTTAAAAGAGAAATCTTGAGTATAAGACATCAAATTTTTACCCTTATCAATCACAAAGTCGATCTTTATCAAACCAGAGGAATTAACGGCATCAGGATTATCTTGATCAGCAATGGAGCTCCATAGACAGGTTTAACAGATGAACCATGGGAAGAAGAAGGAATTTAATCAATTTGGGAGAGTGCTATGTGCACGTAGATTTATGTGTGCAACTTAAATTTAAGAATCTTTTTAATTAATAATTAGTCTACTTTTTCTTATGAGATATACTAATGCTAAACAAATTCGATAGTGATATTTGATGTTTTATCAAATCTCAAAGGACTACATGATACTTAACTAAATCTCGGGAGTTGTAAATGAAAATTAATTGCTTATTCAGGCTACCAAAAAATTTCATAATTATATATTAATCAAATATATAATAAAATCTAAATATTTATTCAGAATTTTTTAAGAAAATTAAAACCTACTTGCCAGTTCAAATTTATAATAATATTAAAGATTTTAATCCTTGCAGTTACAAGAAAACATTTTACTCGCTAGCTCAGATTTTTTTTTTTTTTTTTTTTTTTTTTTTTTTTTTTTTTTAATTTTTTACTCACTTGCTCAGATTGGTTTCATAGCGCATATGTTTTTAACTTTCAGTTTACTTTTCCTTTATAGTCTGTTTTCAGTTTGTTGTTTTTGCTCTAAATTTTTATATTTTTGGATTTAATATTACAGCTCCTAGATATTAATTTCTCCTGAATAAAGTTTTTACTCATAATAATAACATTTTTTTAGGAGAAATAAAATACTTTACATGATGAATATCCAAAATTACCTACTCTTAATAATCAATCTTTCCATGGAATAACTCTAATTTCCAATAATATTTAAAAATATTAATATGAAATAACGAATCCATTAAACAAATATAGAACGGGCAAATTTTTAAAATAAATACAGCTAAAAAATTAATTAATTAATTGAATATCGAAAAAAAAATAAAAAAAGTATGTTACTGTAGCAAGTAGCCCGTTTAACGGAAAACTTGCTACAATCACAGTTGACTGGACTGGCACATGACTCAGCATGGCTAAATCAGCTGTAAGTCGCCTGTTAAACAAGGTTCTTTGGCTATTTTTATTTTTTTTATATTTAATTAATTTATTTATCTTTTAACCGTATATATATTAAAAATTTGCGGAATACATATAAGGGGGATTACGAGAATTGTAAGAGACCAAATATTTTATATGGAACACCCAAGAAAGAAAAATCATGGGGCATAGCTCAATTGAAATGATTCTCTAGTGTTTTTCATTGATTTTAAATGATGTCATTTCTCAAGGAAGGTTTTGATGGAGCATAACAAATATACATTTTATAGAGCACATTGCATGTTTAGGTTGGAAGAGCCTAATGACATGAGAGTTATTCTTCAAGATTGTTGGTCTATTTTTTTGGTTGGAAGAATTGTAGTTGAGCAATGGAGGTTGAAGGTTCGTAATCAGGCAATGGTAGTTGGAAGAATGTGGAGGGATCATAGATGGGCGATGGAGGTTGAGCGATGGTGGTTGGAGGGATAGTAGTCGGCGATGGTGATCTGAGGGATCATAGTAGTGTGATTGTAGTCTGCTGATGAAGTTTGGTGGGATCATAGTTGGCACGGTGGTCCTTGGGACCCTAGCCGATAGGCAATAGAGGTTTAGAAGGACCGTAACTGGGAAGCTGAGGTTGAAGAACTGTTGTCGGGCAAGTGTGGTCTGAGGACTGTAGTCAGCGGGTTATGATGTTTAGAATGATCATACTCGGTAGGCGACAGAGGTTGAAGGACTGTAGTCGGTGAACGATGGAGGTTGGGAGGATCATAGTCCTGTGATTGAGTTCAAATGATTGTAGTCAGCAGGTGACAAAACTTTGAAGGAATGTAGGCTGACGATGGTGGTTCGAGGACCGTAGTCAAGCGATGGTGGTCCGAGAACCGTAGTAAGACGACGATGGTTTGTGGACTGTAGTCGACAAGCAACTGTGGTTTGAGGGTGGAGATTGGAAATGGTTCAATGATGGTAATCGTATGGAGCCCTGATAGTGGTGGCCGGGAGTTGGTTCAATGGTGGCCTAGTAGAGGTCTGATAGTAACAGCAGGGTGACGAGAGTTTGCTGTCGGTGGTGCTCAAGTGGAGATTCGGGATTCTTTAAGTCTTAGAATTTTCTTCTCTCTTTCTAGGGTCCAAGCCCCTTATGTATGGAGTGATGGTCTATTAATAAATTTTTTGGATAGACATGCCCTATAAATATGGTGAAAGTTCGGAGAAAAATCAGAGCAGTCCATCGAATGGTGCATATTGATTCTCACAATTATTTAAGTGCCTTAATGATGTCATATTTATGTAATCTGGGGATCACTAGATTAATCTGGTTGAGCTACTTGATTTGACTATAAGCATGTCAAATTTGGAGTTCATTTGATCCTCCAATTAAAATAATGAAGCTTTCAAATACCTTTAGGCCCTTGATTTTGGCTTATTAGTGCTCGGATTGGACCATCTTTTATGTCGTTGTGTTTGTCTCATTTAGATGTTCACTTTGACTATAAGTTTGCTGAAATTTGAGCTTTGTTGATCCTAAATTTGATTTTGAAAGTTTCCAATTTAAGTGTGCCTTGGGATTCATGCCCGATCAAAATGATTTTTCGTGACATATTAGTATTGCCTGATAGTTTGAACAATACCAGCGGGTCTCAACATGTCCAATAACTTGGGAGTGGCTGAGCAGTAGAATGTTAAATGTATGCCTAATTGCATATTATTTTTGTATGCGAACCATCTCACTCTTCAGCTATATTAATCTCTAAAACATGCATAATAACTTATTTATTCTATCATTTTTTTTACTGTGTATTTATTGTTTCTTGTTGGTGTTCTAACCATCAGATTTTGTTTATGTTGTTGCTCCTCTTCCAGAAGCAGAAGTTCTTTCAGCACCTCCAAAGCTTGTCTACAACAAGTTTGTTCTCAGGTATTCTATTAGTTTCTGATTATGTGATTTGTCATTGACAATCATGTAATTTGTAAATAAGCTCTTTCAGCACCTCCAAAGCTCGCCTACAAAAAGTTTGTTCTTTAGGTCTCTTATTGGTGGCTGGCTTGTGGCCAAAGAGCTCCAAACGATTTTAGATTCCCATATTTGCATCGCATTTTTTATTCTTAGTAATGTTTCCTTTGAAAAAGTTTTCATTAATTATGCTCAGTTTCAAGGATTCGTAAGTTGTGCATTTTGGTTTGTAATAGATTGGCCAGGGATCTCTTGGGAGCTGTTGTGAAACAGTGGAATGAGCATGTCCTTGTCATTGATAAAATCATCCCTCAAAATTGGAAGGTATCCCTCACACTTTATTTACTTGATTTCCTGACCTAGAGGGCTATTAAGAAATTGAAATCATGAGTTCATACAATCACTTTGATCATCATTATCAATAATCTTATCCCTACTAATTTAATTTTGACTTATTGTCCATTCTCTTGCTTAGTGATGTGTTGTTGTTCTCCACAATTTTGAGAGGGGTTTACATTTATCTCATAAAATTCTTCATCTATTGTAATCAAATATTTAAACTATATAAAAAATATCACTAATATGAATTTATTTAAAGTAAAACACACATTTTCATGCATATTATTTGATGTTATTTAAACACTAAAGTGGTAGGTAAGTAAATATAAAATATTTACGTGTTAGATATGTCAATACATAAGAATTTTGTGTATGTAATCTCCATATATATATATATATATATATATATATATGGACAGTGCTAATTTAGTCTCTTTAAAATTTTGAATCAGGATGAATCTACTGCAAGAATCTTGGAACTTTCCATTCTACATCTTGCCATGGCAGAGATAACGGAAATAGGGACAAAGCATCAAATTGTCATTAATGAGGTTAACCATCCTCCCTTACAGCATTCATTTGTAATTTAGGCTTTGTTTGAGATGGCTTTTTTATTGCTTCTTAAAACAGCTTTCTAGTAAAAATTAAAAATTTAGTACTCGAAGCTGCTTTAAGAAACAGTAAAAAAATCTTATCAAACGAAGCCTTAGTGAAATTTTTATTGCATTTTTTCTTTAAATGAATATATTTTTAAAAGTGGTGTAAGTGAAATGTATAGTTTTAGAAATATAAGTGTTATATGATTGGATGAAAAATAAATCACATTAATTTTTAAATTTTTATTGGGATAATTTCAAATAACTTCTTTCTCCCTCCCATTCCTCACTCTCTCTCTCTCATCTCAAATGCAAAGCAAGGGGAGGATAGCAAGCTATATGATTGGATGAAAAATAATTAATATACTCTTAATGCTACTGGCAATATAACCAGCTTTTAATATACTATTTGTTGACTTAGTTTTCTATCCATGCAGGCTGTTGATCTGACAAAGAGATTCTGTGATGGATCTGCTCCTCGAATAATAAACGGTTGCCTTCGGACATTCATCAAAGATTATAATAGCAGAATAGCTGCTGTATAATCCATGTTGTTGTAATGCACAAAGAGGATAGCAAGCTCTCTTGTAGCCATTGGAGCTATTTAAGAGTTCTCTTATTATTTTCATTTCAACCCTCCCTCATGTATTGTATTGAACTGCACAAATTACGCCTATCAAAAATCATATATTGATATTCCTGGAAAATGAAAAGAAGTAATTATCTATTGAATTATAGAAGAAAAAAAACATGTACAATTTCTGCCCATGATTATTGAAATTCATTTTTTAGGCGAATTAATTATAGTTCAGTGTTGCCACCTTTTTCTGGGTAGAGTATAAACTTTTTGATAGAATATAAGCCATTTTTAAAACTAAGTATCGTCTTAATCATAATTAAGTGATTAATCAATATTAAAAAAAAAATTAAAACTCGCCAAAATCGCCCGTTTAACGAGCGACATACATCAAAAGGATAAGTCACAAACGAAGAGCAGATCCGACGCGTAAGCTTCTTTTTAATTTCTTTTAATTTTTTTTTTTTTGTTTAAATTGTGTTCCTTTAGTAGCCTTCTTCATTAGATTGTATTATGTTGAAAGTTTAGGGTTGATTTAGTGCTAAGACTTAAAATTTGTGTGTGAGATGTGTTTTTTTATTACGAAAGATTGAAGATAACTTTGATTTGTGGATAATATTTTGTTGTTGATATGATTTTTTTGGATAAATGTAACATGATATTATTTTGAGAGATATAATGTTTGGGTAGATTTGTTTGGATAAATATATTTTTGTAATGATTAGAGCCTTTTAGGAAGTTTGAAGGATTAAAAGGAATATTCAATTTGAAGAATTTTTTTAAAAAATATTTAATAAAAAAATTATGATAAGTAATATATCCAAGTTAAATTTTCTACGGCAGATTATTAGAAAATGTAATATTTTGACTTCATGTAAGTAACATATATTTATAGTTAATATTAAAAATATATATTTTTAATCGACTAAATTTACTCTTCACAACTCTAGCAGAAGATCAAGAAAAAGAAAGCAAGTGGCAATGTCGACTGGCGACAAGGCTGCCTTTCACGCCGGCGAGGCCAAAGGCCAAACTCAGGAGAAAACGGATAATTTGTTCGGAAAAGCTTCGAACGCGGCTTCTGGAGCTAAGGACAAGACGGCAGAGACGGCGCAGGCGGCAAAGGATCATGCAGTAGAGGGAAAGGACAATGCTGGTGGCTTTCTACAGCAGACTGGAGAGAAATTGAAGAACGCGGCGCAGGGAACTACCGACGCTGTGAAGAACACTTTGGGAATTGGAGAGGAGAATAAGGGAAACTAGTTAGCTTCAGAAGCATCGTATATGGTGTAATGTAACTGCAAAACCATGTTATTTTTTGCTATGTAAATTCTATTGTATTTTGTAAAGATGTGTTACAAAATTTTTTAAAATAAAATTTTGTATAGGATATCATTATAAATATGTAGTATTCCACAATGTTGGGACGGGAAGCATCGTTTTTTCTTATGTATGGTGGACAGTTATCTTTAGATGATAGATATTCACCAACATATATTAGGGGGAGGCACCGACCATTGCAAGTGTCTGCTAAGATGAACTTAGCGCAACTGAAGATTATGATTCTGCAAGCCCTTAAATATGATACGCCGAAGTACACAGTAAACTTGGTTTATCGTATGCCCTTAGGGAATGAGTTCATAGCTTTGGCTGTCGAGGATGATGAGGAATGTCAAATGGTGTTATCACATGTAATTGGGCAGATACTTTTACTTTATGTAGGGTCGAAGATATTGCTTCAAAAAATTTAGTTGTTGAGCAAATAACATCTCAAGTGCATGAGACATAATTTTGACGGGGTGATAGAAGGCGATTCGACCAATCCAAGTCTCGTGCCGTAATGTCCTGAGTAAATTTCTCATTTATGAATTTTTAATGTGTATTACATAAACTATTATTGTATGAGAAATTTCCTCTTGTTAATAAAATATGATTTATGTGATGGAGTTAACGACAAAGAAGTTTTTGCCGTGACATTCCAGGAACTTTTGAGGGACCATTAGTCAATATTGATAATGGTTACGAAATGATGAGTAGTGGATCGAGCGATCCAGGTCCTGATGATGGTGATGATAATGCACAATATCATTTGGATGAAGTGAATGTTGATATGAATCAAGATATTCATAGCATAATTCAACGTTGTTGTTACATGAATGTCAGCATTGTAGAAGGTGTAACTGTAAACAATGAGTTTGTGAAGACATATGCAACAACTCGTGAGTGGGATGAGGATGTAGCAAATGACTGGGAATATGCTGGTAGCCAAGTTAAGGACGAAATTTTAATTCCAATAGAACTGATGGAGGGTATGTGTTTTAACAAGAAAGAGGATCTTCAATTCGCATTACAGGTTTGGTCGATTACAAATAATATAGAGTATGTCATTGTAGCTTCGAACAGACAGAAATTCACAGTGGTTTGTGCTCAGAGTTGCAGATTAGGCAAGCCATGTATATGGCTCTTGCATATGGGCGTCAGCAAACAGTTAGGAGGCATATGGAAAATATCTTCCATGAAGAACTAACATACATGCGAAACTCTGATTATAACAACAGGATATAGACAATGTAATTCTTAATTTATAAGCTACTTCATATTGCCTAGCATTAGAAGGCATATGGATATCAAGCCGTGAGATATTATAGGCCAAATTGAAGCAAAGTTTAACATTAAAGTTTCTTATATGAAAGCTTGGGATGCCTGACTGAAAGCTGTGAAAATTGTATTTGGTAGTTGGGAGGCGACTTATAGAACCATAAATTTGTTCATGGACATTGTTGTGTTTTCAATGCCTGAAACCATTTATAAGATACAAACGTCTGAGAATCATAGATTTGAGAGATTATTTTTCTCGTTTGGGCTTTCGATAAATGGTTGGAGCTACTGTCGCTCTGTTCTTTACCTTGACGGCACATTCCTGTTAGGCAAATATCGAGGCACTTTACTTACTGCTTTGAGAATTAATGCTAACAATGGATTCTATCCCCTCGCATTCACAATTGTAGAATCAGAATGTGTTGATTCATGTGTGTGATTTATGAGCCAGTTGCTCATACGCTCGTCCTACACATAACGACTACGACTAGCTGAGTCAACAAGGTAAGTCGCCCGTTAAATGGACGACTTTGACAAGTTAATAATTTTGATGAGCTATATAGCCAAGATTAAAAAAAAAAAAGATTAAGAGGAGCAATCATCCATCAAGCCAATTAAACCTATGTTTCAGACAATCTATACTATGAGTTATTGATCCATATATTTTTTATTGATGTAAAATTTTACATTCTTATAAATAATGAGTGAGGAAAAATATTCTGATTTTTATTTCTTTTACATATACTTAAGCTAATAATTTATCTCTCACAAATTTCTCTCTCTTTCTCCGCATTTCGTCACAAGAATTCTCAAGTTACACATGAAGCTCCCTTGCTAGTAAAATCAAATATCACAACGGCATACTTTAATCAAGCTACTTGCACGCTTTTTCTAAGCATTGGACTCATATTCGAACACTTGAGCTTCTATTCTACAAAGCAAGACTTCAAAACTACGAAAATAAAAATTTTTAAATTGATAATTGTTATGTTTAAAAGAGCAGGTGTTCGATTTAAAGAGCAAAAAATTAATAACGCATACCACTATATATTGCGTTCAATTTTTTTTACTGAAGACTGGACTCAAATTCAGGAGAAATTATTCTATGCATAGTCCGGATAGAAAGAACCGTCCAAACTATGAGTATACACACTAAACTATGTACACAATATGTACACTAATTTAATAATATTATATACAATATATACACTCACATATCCGGACAAATTTTTCTGTCCGAACTCCAAAATAAATTCTTAACTAAGAAAAAAAAAGTTTTTATGTTTAGTTGAACAAAATCTCTAATGGGACGAAGAAACAAAGAGCTCACTCACTCCCATGAAGAGCTCGCTCCATGGTCAATTCTTTGGCAAATTTACTTTACTCAGTATAAACCAACCCAAAAAAAAATTCCGTTGTATTCACTTTACCGCTAACCAAACAGCCCAAAGTATTATTTCATATTGCATTCCCTTTATACCCCACAAAATGACCCCTAAATATTTAGAATTGCAATATTTGATCACAACAATTTACAATAATATGAATGAATTTTAAAACATTGAAACTAAGATCTAGTTTATAACATTTATGGGTTGTAGAGGTCGGCGTCATTCAATGCAATAGTGCAAATTAATTGTTGACAACAATTCATTATTTTATACACTTCCAGTAAAATGTAATTAAATATTTAAAAAATCACCAAACTGTCTTCTTATAGATAACTAAGACATTTTTTCAGTATATGACTAAACAAGCGACATCTCATTTCAAAATAGAAAAATTGCCACCAAACAGCGAGAACTTCATCTTTGCATTAAGAAGTACGATAATTTCATTCTTTAACGTATTACCAAAAAATAATCATCGAGACACCTTTCATCCAGTACAAAGATCATTTAAAAAACCCAAAAAGCATAGGATTTCTTCATGTAATCCTACATTTTGATTGGCGTGGTAAACAAGGTACCTATTTTCTGTTATGGCAAAAAAAAAAAAAAGCAGGAATATATATACATTCAGGAAACAGAAGTCAGGCCTGATTTCACTTCAACCAAGCTTGCTTTTTCATGCTCAGCAGAATTCCAGCACAATTTCGATACAAAATCGTCAGGATCTGCTACATAGTCCTACAATATTTCCAAATTAAGTGTTACAACCACTTAAAGTAGAAAAAATTAATTTCTAGTGCATTATCATATATTTACCTCCAATTTTCTAACCAACTCTTTCGGCGTTGGAGCGGAAACTATAATGAGGCGAGCTTTCTCAGAAATAAACTCCTCTGACACAGCCGTGTCCATGAACGAAAGTAAGAAATCGTAGTATCCATTTACGTTCAACAGACCCACCTGAAAAGGGTCCAAAGTGGTACAAAGATAAATATAATAAAAAATAACAAATGGTAACATCTAACTTACAAGATTTATCTTGGAATCAGTTAAGGTGCCAAGTTCTTTGCAGGAATATTTGCTTACAGGCTTCCGATGAATTCCTAACTGTGCCCATGTTATAACTTCCAGCAATTCCTCGAGTGTCCCATATCCGCCTGAATTATGATCATCGTTTGATTTCATAATGACCAATGCCACAAAAGTATTTAAATATAAGAAAACACAGTACGAAAATACCAGGCAAAGCAATGAAGGCATCAGCTTGGCGAGCCATCTCAGCTTTCCTCTCATGCATGTCTGAAACAGCCCGAACCTCACCAACAGTTTCTCCAGTAATCTGAAAATGCACAGTGAATATAATTTTTTTGCTCGGATTACAATTCATTTTCTCAGCATTTGCTGAGTATAACAGCTTCTCGAATCACATTCAATTTAAAGCTCAAACATACATGTAGCATATTAAATATATTAAAGCAATCAAGGCGATGTTATCTTTAATAAGACTGCTAAACTTCACAATAACGGCTAACCAAAGACCATTGAAAGTAGAAGAAATAGCTGTCACCTAAGATTAACATGAAATTCTACAGCAAGCAGATCCTCAGTAAAAGAAATTCAAAATAACTTTCACAAAAATCAATTTGATTAAGATAACTGACCTCGCTAGTCATCAAAGATTTTGGAATGACTCTGCAGGAAAGAGAAAATAATTATACATAAGCAAAATTACTACCATATAGCATAAAATATAAAAAGGAATGCTAGTAGAAAGAGAGTTAACCAAAATATTCCAAAATACTTATCTAACATTTAATACATCTATAATTTATAGTCTTAACCCTCAAAATAATTCACTTGCCAAGATATTTAACGAAACTGAATAACTTTTTCCGATGCGAGCAAGGGTTTGAAAAGTCATTGAGTTTAATTAAAAGCTTCACAAGCCTATCAAAACCAAATTAGAAAACCTGCACAAGGAGCTCACTGTATAAAAAAACATAATTAGATCTCCAGAAGACTATTGTTAACAGAAAAGAAATAAGAATGCTTCATCCATAACGCATTCCACCAGTCGCTATCCGGGTAATTAAAAATCAGCATCAATACAAAGGGGAACCTTTTTATATATAAAACGCCCTTCCACACAAATAAATATCGAATAAATAAAGCTATCAGAAAAGCATTCTATTTAACTAAGTGTGAAATGGAACTAAGCCGCTACATCTGTCATGCTGTGATAAGTAAGAACACTAACAAACCACTTTATAGATATGTGTGTGAGAAAGAGAGAACCCTAGAACATGACGGCCACCATTATGGACGGCTTGTGAGACGAGACCCATCAATCCAACGCTTCCTCCTCCATAAACCAAATCAATACCCCTAGCCACCTTGAACAAATAACAAGACGTGTCAGAAAGAAATTCAAAGATTTTTTTTTAAGTGCAGTATGGTAACCGGATTCAGATCAAAAGGATATATAACAGGCTAAAGTCATCATATCCAAATGCACTTTTTCATTCCAGAGAATGTCTTAAGTGCCTCTTCCCGTTATATTAACTAGAAAAAACAAAAAAGCTTCATATGATTACCAGCCAAAAAAACTATTTTAAAATGTCGTCCAAACTCGTGAATAATCATGCAAGAAAGCTAGCCCGGTAGGTTACAACTAGTAATCCCGTCCACAACCTCTTTCATCAATCTTTCTCACACGTTTGTGTCCAGCTAATCTCATCATTTTCAAAATTTCATTTTAAATTTAGGAATTATAAAAACCCCTACCCATCTTCTTCTATTCAAAGAAACACGATCAAATGCACGAATCATCTACCAAAATCTTTTAACTTTCGTTGAGTTAAACAAGATATTAAAAGAAATAAAGAAAACTTCATTTCTGATTAAGCATTCTGAAAACCACTAATGAATAAAAAAAACTCACTTTGAAGTTTTTAATTCTAATTACCAGTTCATTTCCAAGCTCGACGGCAGCCTCTCGGTAGCTTGCATTTCTCCCTGGGCTACTTCCGCAGAAGACGCAGATCCTACGGAAACGCGATACGCAAAACTCTCCACTTTCATATCCACGGAATTGGCCTTCCGGCTTCCCTTCCATCTCTTTCCGCTGTTCAACTACCAAATGCAATAAGGCAATAACTAAAAAGCGATGGCGACGATATCTTTAGTAATTAGTACTCGGTGCCAGGTTGTTATATAAATGACTTGCCTTCCATGCTGTGCTCTGTCGCGTTAATAGTGACGATTACTGATAAGTCCTGCGTGGGGACCAATGTATCGGATTTTTTATATATCGGGAAATACGAGATGGACGGATATAATTAGGATCAGACGATGGAACCTGATCGAGAGGAGCTCAATCCTGGAAATAAATGACACAGGATTTGGTTTTTTTTTTTTTTGTGGATGAGGGTTTGATGTTAAATGTATTTTTAAAACTTGGAGCTCTCTTGATCTAGTTTTGGATATCATTTTTGCGTCCTGGAATGTTTATGGCAGTAGATAAATATAAATTTTAATGTCTTAGCATTGTACAAAGATCCAATATGCATATAGATGAAGAGAGAGGGTACAACATTCATAAGAGACATCAGAGTTTTTACATGAAAACCTCTGAAAATGGGGAAAAATCACCAGGCTAACCCAGTTTGAATGAATCCGCTATTATTTGCAGTTAATTACAAATGAGACTCTTCCTTGGGTGAAGGCAATTGGTTTGATGTAGATAATGCATATCATATTTCAAACCTTTCAACTATGACGATCAACTTTGCACTGTACGATTAGTACAAGTTTTTTGTACATATAGTCTAACAATCCTGTATTGTCTCGGATGATTAGTTCAAGATACTGTATTGATCGTCCAATATAGGGTTGTAAACGAGTCGAGTCGAGTCGAGTTTTGACACTATCGAGCTTGGCTTGTCAGTCAGAAAGGAAGCTCGAACTCGAGCTCAAAAGGCGAGCTCGAACTCGAGCTTGTCCCACTGTTAATGAGTTCAAGCCAGCTCGCGAGCCTCAGCATTCCGGATAGCCTTCGAGCGAGTCGTCCTCCTCATCCGCGTCATCCATGTCGAGCTTGCCATCAGAGAAGAAGGTTGAGCATTGAAAATTAAATATATATTTTTTTTCTTATCGGGAGAAGAGAGGAGCTAAGATAATTAATGAGAGTTTATAAAAAAGCAAAAGCAAGCTGCAGCTTGCAGCTTTCCACCCTTAAAAAAAATACTAGTTGTCTGTCAGTCATTTTCATTGGTTATATTAAATAAAATTATCATTATATATTTTTTCTTATGACAGAAAATACCTAAATAGTATTATTTTTTTTTCATTTTTTTTTGAAATTGCCGCTTTGGTCATTTAATTTTTGGAAATCCCGCATGATGCCCGCCTTCCTTATTTGAAATTACCGCCCTTCTGTCATTTTATTTTTATTTTTTAATTCAAATAATCAATCGAGCTCAACTCGCGAGCTCCAGAGTCGAGCTCTCATCAAGCTCGAGCTTGCGGCTCGATAAGCTCGGCTCGTGAGCTCGTTATCGAGTCGAGTTCGAGCCGGCTCATGAGCCGACTCGGCTCACTTACACCCCTAGTCCAGTACGACATGGGACGATGTGTGGTCATCTACATATCATCCCGTAACTTCTCGAGACATCTTGTACAATCTTCTAGAAGAAAATTATGGTTTTCATCTTGGACGATAGTGGATCGCCCTATGAAAATATAATATATCATCCAGTATGATATAAGTAGATCATCATGTACAATTTGATTAATTAATCTAACCACAATTTGTCTCCTAATCTTCAGATCAATTTAAACATAATTGTCATTAATCATCAAGGATGATATATATCGTCCTGCATGATTAGAACAAAATTTAAAAATTAAAATATTACCTAAATTGTGACTGTCGACTATTTTTTTTATAATTTGAACTGATCATCCTATACGATATGGATCGTATAGTACAATTAGGTTTAATCAATCGTAATTAGCAAGTATGCTCTAATTAGGATTTTTGTTTTTAACGAATTGTTAAGTACGATTTGAAATTGTTTTGTATGATTAAGTCAAAAAATAGAAAGTTCTCTAACTCACCAGATTTCTTCCCTTGAGTATGTGTCTACAAGGTTATTTAGCTTGGGGTCTACCAAGTACATGACTTGACTCAAGAAAGGTAAAAAGTATATTAAATTTTAAATTACCGATAGACTCAAACATTGTCTACCTAAACTTGAGTTGATTTGTGTTGCAAGTAAACTTGCGGACCTGAAAAGTCGGTGAGTAGGGCAAACAAACTAGATATGCAAGAATAACAGTAGTAAAGAAACAATAATGATTGTTATCATCAAAATCACTATACTTGGGTTCAGATTTACAACAATTTTTTGAGCATTAGCTAATATTTATTCTCTTTAAGAACTTATAATTTTTTGATAAATTTATTGCAACCCAAGCTCCTGAGTTTATATTTTTTATGTTAGTAATTATTATTGATTGCCTCTTTATTTCTCCTAGTATTTTTAGTGCATATATGTTTGTGTATTAACTAACATTTTACAACATGCACTATTCTTTGAATATTCATGGCTCAAGATAGGGTAGAATAGATTATATTGAAAGAAGTATCTAATTTTCATTTATTTATTTTTAATTTCTTGAGTTAAGTACTGTAAAGTTGTATGCTAGCTTGGTGATCGTGCACACATATATAAGGGGAGGAGAAATAATTTTAAATATTTAATTTTTCTATACATCATACTATACGATATGTTATTATAGAAGTTAAATAAAATAATTTATTTATCTAAAAAAAATAAATTTAAAATATAACTAATTATACAATATGAACATCACATCGTACTGAATGATCTGTTATATTAGAAACCATGTCATTTATTAAATTAGGCAAAACTTTAACTTTAAAATATTGCACCATTCATATCATATGAGCCAAATAAAACTATATGATGTTTCAAATATTACCTAATTTAATCCTATGATTAATCAATTGAATCTACTTAATTTTGATATTTTGATCGTACTGTATGAACTGGATCATATTATATGATCGATAAAGATGATATTTGGTTGTCCTAGGATTCATCCTAGACGAATTATAATTGAAAGTTTGACAGAGATGTTAAACCCTAATAAACTAGTCTCAAGACTAACCAAGAGCGGGGGGGGGGGGGGGGGGGAGGGGGGGGGGGGGGGGGATGAATTGGTATTTTAAAAATTCTTTAAACAAAAGTATAAATTTAAACCAAAGTTCACCACAAAGAAATCAAAGTGCAAAAATTAAATACGTAAACAGTAATAAAGAACACATAAATTTATAGTGGTTCGATCAACTTGACCTACGTCCACTCACTGGAGCCTCTCCTCTGAGTATTATACTAAACTCTATGACTCTCCTTTAGCTCCCACAGCAAGGCGGAGAAGCCTTTAAAAACCTTCTTTCCCCCAACATCGGTGAGGCAGAGAACCCAACTCCTTTTGCTTCCTCTAGAAGCAGGTAGAGAACCTAGCTCCTTTTGCTTCCTCCTAAAGCATGCAAAGAACCTTGATTAGATGCTGAAGTAGACCTCTCTAGAACCCCCAAGGAACCAGGGACGATGACTGGAGAAGACGACAATGGATCCTTACTTGGAGCAACTTTTGTGAAACCCCTCACAAACTCTCCCTCTCCTCTTGGTTCTCTCAGGTCAGGACAGTAGTAAAAGATATTCTCTTGGGTGAAATAAGAGTTCTTAAATA